GACTCGGGGGCCATGTCATGTGATTTCCCTGCCCAATCCCTGCAGCCAATTTGGTTTTTCAAAATAGGATTTTTCAGCTCAGAAGAATCACGGGCCATGTGATTTCAACATCAAGACCTGAGATTTTAGGACAGCATGTTATGTTCTGCATCAACCATATTTGCTCAGAATATTACTCTATTTTTTTTTTTAAAAAAAAGACAAGTATTTCTCGGGTGACAAATTAAGCATTCCAAGCTCTGTAGTGATTGGAGGAATTACAGTTTCCCTTCTATTTTAACACCTGTGCAAGTGCCCGTCATAAAAACACATGGTCACTGTAGTTCAATTTAAAAACATTATTTTTTTTTGTTTTATTCCTAAAGTGGTTGTTTACAGCAGAAAACAAGTCAACCACTCAAAAACTCCTATGGTAGTAGAGGAACAAGAACTCAAAGCAAAATATACCTTTAATTTTCAAAGCATCACTTTAAACCTGAGGTTCTACCTCCCTGGCCTGAAGACTAGAAAGGAATGCTGAAGACTGGCCCTGATTTCTGGAAACCCTGCTTGCAAAAGCAGCAAGTGTTTCCCTCTTTCCTTTGAAAATTAAATGGATTGGTGCTAAAGGTACTTCCGTGTGCTTTGATAAGCGGCTGCTGGTGGTAAATATTGCATCATGCTTTGGGTGTGTGTGCTGTGTAAACAGGCTTCAGATGGAAGAACAGCTGGTTTTTCTAGTTGCTAAATTGCATAGAGCTCTTTGCAGCAATCTAGTGTGAGTGGATTAGAAGAAGCAGATAAATTCTGAACATGGTAAGGCCTTTGTTTTTAGAATGCCATATTAAAGATTATTTTCCTATCAACCAACATAGAGACCTCACCTGGGTAATTATCTTCTTTATCATACTCTCTTGGCAAATAAATAAATAAAAGACCAGCTTTTCTTAAGGATGTTTATATTTAACATCAGTGTTCTCTTGGAAAGTATAGTGACTGCTATTTTTGTTTTACTCAACAAAATGAAATGCGGTAGTTCCTGACTTTATAGTTCCCTGTGATAAGATCTTAAAATACAGCAGTAGAAAGACTTTGTTGTCTGATTAGAGGTGATATTGTATCAGGCATATATTTTAGGACAGATGAAGTAATTAATAATAAACCATTAACTTCTGTCTACAGAAGGGTTACCTTTGAAATTCTTGTACAGATTATCTGGAATTCCCAAATACAAAATTCTCCAAAATCTAAATTTATTTATTTATTTATTTATTTATTTATTTGCTGTATTTGTATACCACCTTTCTCAGCCCGTAGGCGACTCAAGGCGATTAACAGGATAAAATTCAATGCTTACACTATAATTAAAAACATAACATATAATAAAAAATAAACACATCAATAAAATATAAATTCATAGTGTCGCCTTGTTAAAAACATTGTCCGATCTCATTGTCGTCATTCCATTTTCCTATGTCAGTTCACTTGAGTAGTTGAGAGCATAACACCTTTGCTTTCTGATAATTCACTGTAAACAAACTTTGTTTTACACGCAAAATTATTAAAATATTGTCCAAATAACCTTCAGGCTGTGTATATAAGGTATATATGAAACAAATGAATTTTGTACTTGGACTTCAGTCTCATCTTGATGATTTTTCATTATGTACATACATGCAAACAAAGATATTAAAAAAATCCAAAATATTTCTGGTCCTACGCATTTTAGAAAGGGATACACAAGCTCTATTTAAAATTAAATGGCAGGTGTTTCACTCAAGAGTTTTATATCATGCCTTAAATTTGTTCAAAATAGTAGCTTGAAATTATATTGTGTACCAGAGAAGGAGATCCTTAGGTTTTGGAATGACATCAGCCCCTTCTAGGATCTGGATCCAGCCAATTGGGCTTCTTTAGTGGTCACATCCTGTACCTTTGGATCCCCCACCCCAGGCATGTAGCCGGGGGGGGGGGGCTTGAGGGGCTTCAGCCCCCCCCCCCGAAATTCTCATGGTGATTTGCGAAAAGGCCTTACTGGTGCATTATTTAAACTGTTATGTTTATTCATATCATGATCTGATCACCATACTCAATATATCCCATATGCATGGGGGTATTGGGGTAAGGATACAAAAGGTTTGCTAGGGTAGACCCTCTTTCACTCAGACTCAGCCCCCCCCCCCGAATCAAACTCAGCCCCCCCTCCCACCCCACCCCAGACTACGGGCTTGCCTCCCCCCCCCCCCAGCTTTTGTATGGAGTACTGTGGATACTTTACCAATTTAAGAAATCAAAGTTATTTCCTAAGGTTAGGCATACTTTCCAATGATTCATATATGAAGATTGGAACATGTATGGCCACGAATCTTCAGAGTATGGTGAAGATAATGAAAGTTATTAATAAGAGATGCTGCAGTTTGTGTTTGAAAGAACCTACTGGGAATGTCAAGATGCTGCCCTCTCTTCTCCTTGAGTGAAAACAACTTAGGCATTTTGAACTCAGTTTGCAGCAACTGAAGCAAACTGAAGACAAAGTGGAAAGTGGAAAGAGGAGAAAGACACAGTTTAAAGGCAGTAGAAAAAAATGTGAAGGCAAAAGATTCCTTGGGATTAATCCCTGCCATGTTGAAACATTTGGAGGGTATGCTTAGTTACCACTAATAAGGGCTCTATGCTTGAAATGTGCTGGTATTTATGATTCAAAATAGTTAGCTCTGAGCCTGAACACTACTGGAAAAGTGATCATCCAGGACTTTAAAATGGGATTTAACTTTTCATCTCAATGAGGATCTCCAGTCTTAGAGGAGAATGAGAAAAATAAGATGCCAGGCTTTAAATCTAATTTAGTTTTCGGATCATACTGAGGTATCTCATTTGTTGCTCGCATTGATCACAAATCAACCTGTTTCTTCTTTGCCCATTCCATCATGATACATTTATTTCATAAAATGATACAGTGTAGGTTATTTCAGTGATTACAATGTTCCAGTATGGTGTTTTGCAACAAAGGACATATCTCATATTGAAAGTACAGCATGATACATGTTTGATAAACACTGAAACCACAACTTATGAGCTCACCAACTGCCTCTCCTTCGATTTTTGCTTTTGAAATACGGTCTGAGTTACAAGCTTCTGAGCTTCCCTCATGAAGCCCTCTGGAAAGGTCTAAAAGGCCATCCACTGCCATTTTGGCAGAGACAGGGCACACGAGGCAGCCAGCACTCAGCCCTCTCCCCCAAACTCACAGGAATGGTATCCATTCCATGGCCCAAAAATATCCATATCCACAGGAATTGTATCCATTCCATGTCCAATAAAGTTTGCCATCTCTAGAGATTTTCTAGGTCTTCCAGTGTGACCCTATACTATTATTTTACCAGACATGATTCATTTCAACAGGATTTGGTATTATTTGCAGCTTTGCATATCCATGTGAAGCCAAGAACATATCCCTTGTGGATATGGAGCTTGAATTGTATTTGTCAATCGAGTGAATGCTGAAGAAGCGATTTTGATGAATGTCTGCTATACTTTAAGAATGTGATTTTAATTCAGGTGTGTTTTAATATAACCGTGCAGTATGTTTCATTGTGACTCATTATAATTTTTAGATGTTATTTGTGTGAACTGCTTGAGGTCTTAGATTTGTATCAAAGGTAGCATATACAAGAAGGTGAAATAAACACATACATATTTTCCGTCCACTGTGGAACCAATGGTTGCAGTTCTAGGCATTTGGACAACAAATGCCACTTACCACTGTGTACAGGAATGAAAAAAATTGAATGTAATTGTTTGTTTTCTTCAAAATTCATAATGTGGAATTTAATAATTAAGTTCCTGATTATGGATATCTTTTAAATAGTCCTTAAAAGGGGGGGGGAGGGTTGAACACAGCTCTGAGAGAAATATTTTCATTTGAGAGTATTAATTGAACTAATAAAATTCATCTGTAATGTGTTTTTCTTCCCAAATTAAATAGGAAATACCAGCTAATAAGAAAGAAATTGGCAGATAATTTTAGAAAGATGAGAAAGATGAATGACAATTTTATCCTTAAGTGGATACTTTTCTTAACTTTATTAATTGCCTGCCAAATGAAGGATTAATTGTACAATTAATTACTACACACTAAGAGCAGATCTAACAATATAAAAGAATAATTATCCTGATAAAAATTAATTAAATAATAGGATAATTATATGAATAAAGATGAACATATGCTCTGAAAATTGTTCTGGCCATATGGTAGAAAAGTCAGATTACTTTTTTTGTTTGTGTTTCCAATTGTTATCCAAACTGAACTCACTGCACGATTAGCCAACTTTGGGGTTTGTGAATTAACTCTTGCATGTTATGGTGATTTTCAGGACATTCTCAACTGCCTTGATTTGGAAACTCAGGGATTCTTCCTGTTGTGATTTGGACATAAACTGATATATTATAACAGCATCTTGCTTCCACCTATCATCCTAATGCTGGAATACAAAACCAAGGCAGAAATGTCCCATATTCCTCAGTCTTAGGATGACAATGGAAGACAGTGAAAACAACTTCCAAAACATAGCAGAAAAGATACAGATGGACATGTTTAAAGAAGTATGGATCATGGACAGCATGGAAGAGAAGCATGACACAGAGATATTGATATTATAACATTTGTAGAGATGTTTGATAGGGTTTTAAACAGTGGATTTTAATGTTGAAATAAATGATTTTAATGTTTATGTATATGTATAGTGCATTTATGTTCCAGCATTAAATGTTTGCCATTTATGTGTTGTGCTCCACCCTGAGTCCCCTTTGGGGTGAGAAGGGAAGAATATAAATGTTTTAAATAAATAATTAATAAATAAATTGTATGTCCAGTGTCACCTGAAATAGTAAATGCCACATGTATCTACACATAAAACTAGGAATGTTAGGATGGTTAAGTGTTGGTTGCTCCATTGAAAGCATTTTTAAAGCAAAATGCTGTTCACTATCAAATAATTCCTTTTTGTCCTTGCCATTTTCAGGTAATCGAGGTGAAAAGATGTGAAGAAACTATTAGTACAAAGATCATCTATCAATAAGCAACTGAAGCATGTTCAAGAACTGGAGCAAAATTCTAATGGACACTGAAGTCATTAAAATTACAGTTTCTTCTTCTTCTGGGTTGCTCTTAGATGTACAGGTTGGCTTCTTCCAGGAGATATTTTAACTTTTTAATGGCTGGTCAAATGCAATGATGTGTCTTTAAACTTCACATCACTCCTGGAACATATATCTATAACACAAAACAATACAGTTTAGGCAAAATGTCTCAAAATCTGGAGATCATCAATTTGTCATTTTTACTGGACCATGAAAGAGAAACTATATTGGGAGTGTTGAAGAGAGATGAATACCTGAAAAAAATTGAAGATAAAAGAATCAGGTAATACTATTTTTTTCTGGGGGTACATTTCTGATACAAATTAGATATCAAAGTGTGAAATTATTATTATTATTCGTGTTTTCTGAAATCACACATATGGGCCTTGTATGCAGGTGCAAGACAAGTTGGAATTCTCTAGAGTTCTTAAGAACCTTCTGGTGTTAGCCCTGCCCACTCCCCCTGAGTATATAGCCAGCTGCAGGGCTATATATACCTCAGTTTCTTTTTGTCTGCAGCAGCAACAGCAAAGAAGTTGCTCTTATATCTTACTCTAACTAAAGCAGGTATTTCACTAGGACCAGATTCACTATTCTAGTGGATCTCCCTTGAACAACTTACCTACTTCTGGTGCTGACCTTGGACTGTTTAACAACTCTCTTCTTAATCCGTTGGCCTCTTGACTCCTGGTTTGACCTGGACTGTTTGACAACTCTTTCCTCATATCCCTGGACTCGTATCCCATGAGTACCCTCCAGGGTTTGTTTGTTCTTGTTGATTTTTCCTGAGGCTTTAACTGTTAACTTACCTTACTTCCCTGTTACTATGGCAGCCACATTTGTTAAGAAATGCCAGGCATTGTGGGGAAAAGCTCCTTGATACACATGCTCCTCCAGCAAAGGATCACCGCCTTGTCGGGGCGCTGGAGCTTGAGCACCTCAATGATGTCATGAGCGAAACCGTGAAGGGACACCCAAGACGGGACGGTTGTGGCAGAGAGGTCAGACCAAGCGTGATCCCTGGGGAAGGCAATGGCAAACCACTCCAGTATCCTTGCCAAGAAAACTAAATGGACCAGTACAACCAGAGATATGTCGGTATGCCATTGGAAGAATGGGACTCCCAGGTCGGAAGATGGCCAAAATGCTACTGGGGAGGAGCAGAGGATAAGTTCAACTAGCCCCAGATGTGATGACGCAGCTAGCTCAAACCCGAAAGGAAGGCTAGCGGCCGACGGTACTGGAGGTGAACGACGAATCCGATGCTCTAAAGATCAACACACCATAGGAACCTGGAATGTAAGATCTATGAGCCAGGGCAAATTGGATGTTGTTATTGGCGAGATGTCAAGACTAAAGATAGACATTCTGGAGGTCAGCGAACTGAAGTGGACTGGAATGGGCCACTTCACATCAGATGACCACCAGATCTACTACTGCGGACAAGAGGAACATCGAAGAAATGGAGTAGCCTTCATAATTAATAAAAATTCGCTAAAGCGGTGCTTGGATACAACCCAAAAAATGACAGAATGATCTCAATTCGAGTGCAACGAAAGCCTTTCAACATTACAGTGATCCAAATATATGCCCCAACCACAGCTGCTGAAGAAGCAGAAGTAGATCAGTTCTATGAGGATCTGCAGGACCTACTGGATAATACACCAAAAAGAGACATTATTTTCATTACAGGAGACTGGAATGCCAAGGTGGGAAGTCCAATGACAACTGGGATCACAGGCAAGCATGGTCTGGGAGAACAAAATGAAGCGGGACGCAGGCTGATAGAATTTTGCCAGGAAAACTCGCTGTGTATAACGAATACTCTCTTCCAACAACCTAAAAGACGGCTTTACACATGGACCTTACCAGACGGTCAACACCGAAATCAGATTGACTACATCCTTTGCAGCCAAAGGTGGCGGACATCCATCCAGTCGGTGAAAACAAGACCTGGGGCTGACTGTAGCTCACATCACGAACTTCTTATTGCCCAATTTAGAATAAAACTAAAGAGATCAGGAAAATACACAGACCAGTTAGATATGATCTCACTAACATTCCTAGCGAATATACAGTGGAAGTGAAGAACAGATTTGAAGGACTAGATTTAGTAAACAGAGTCCCAGAAGAACTATGGACAGAAGTCCGAGACATTGTTCAGGAGGCGGCAACAAAGTACGTCCCCAAAGAAAAAGAAAACCAAGAAGGCAAAATGGTTGTCTGCTGAGACACTGGAAGTAGCCCAAGAAAGGAGGAAAGCAAAAAGGAAACAGGGATAAGGGGAGATATGCCCAGTTAAATGCGCAATTCCAGAGGTTAGCCAGAAGAGATAAGGAACTATTTTTAAATAAGCAATGCATGGAAGTGGAAGAAGACAACAGAATAGGAAGGACAAGAGACCTCTTCCAGAAAATGAGAAACATTGGAGGTAAATTTCAGGCAAAAATTGGTATGATAAGAAACAAAGATGGCAGGGACCTAACAGAAGCTGAAGAGATCAAGAGAAGGTGGCGAGACTATACAGAAGATCTGTATAGGAAGGATAATAATATTGAGGATAGTTTTGACGGTGTGGTGAATGAATTAGAACCAGACATCCTGAGGAGTGAGGTTGAATGGGCCTTAAGAAGCATTGCTAACAACAAGGCCGCAGGAGATGACGGGATCCCAGCTGAACTGTTTAAAATCTTAAAAGATGATGCTGTCAAGGTGATGCATGCCATTTGCCAGCAAATATGGAAAACACAAGAATGGCCATCAGACTGGAAAAAATCAACTTATATCCCCATACCAAAAAAGGGAAATGCGAAAGACTGCTCAAACTTCCGTACAGTGGCCCTTATTTCTCATGCCAGTAAGGTAATGCTCAAGATCCTGCAAGGAAGATTCCAGCAGTACATGGAGCGAGAGTTGACAGATGTTCAAGCTGGGTTTAGAAAAGGCAGAGGAACGAGAGACCAAATTGCCAATATCCGCTGGATAATGGAGAAAGGCAGGGAGTTTCAGAAAAACATCTACTTCTGCTTCATTGACTATTCTAAAGCCTTTGACTGTGTGGATCATAATAAATTGTGGCAAGTTCTTGGTGGGATGGGCATCCCAAGCCACCTTGTCTCTCTCCTGAGGAATCTGTACAAGGACCAAGTAGCAACAGTAAGAACTGACCACGGAACAACAGACTGGTTCAGATTGGGAAAGGCGTACGGCAAGGCTGAATCCTCTCACCCAACCTTTTTAACTTGTATGCAGAACACATCATGCGATGTGCGGGGCTGGATGAATGCAAAGCTGGGGTGAAAATTGCTGGAAGAAACATTAACAACCTCAGATATGCAGATGACACCACTCTGATGGCCGAAAGCGAGGAGGAGCTGAGGAGCCTTCTAATCAAGGTGAAAGAAGAAAGCGCAAAAGCCGGGTTGCAGCTAAAAATCAAAAAAACCAAGATTATGGCAACAAGAATGATTGACAACTGAAATAGAGGGAGAAAACGTGGAGGCCGTGACAGACTTTGTATTTCTAGGTGCAAAGATTACTGCAGATGCAGACTGTAGCCAGGAAATCAGAAGACGCTTACTTCTTGGGAGGAGAGCAATGTCCAATCTAGATAAAATAGTAAAGAGTAGAGACATCAGACTGGCAACAAAGATCCGCCTAGTCAAAGCCATGGTATTCCCTGTAGTAACCTACGGATGTGAGAGCTGGACCTTAGGGAAGGCTGAGCGAAGGAAGATCGATGCTTTTGAGCTGTGGTGTTGGAGGAAAGTTCTGAGAGTGCCTTGGACTGCGAGAAGATCCAACCAGTCCATCCTCCAGGAAATAAAGCCCCGCTGCTCACTGGAGGGAAAGATACTAGAGACAAAGTTGAAGTACTTTGGCCACATCATGAGGAGACAGAAAGCCTAGAGAAGACGATTATGCTGGGGAAAGTGGAAGGCAAAAGGAAGAGGGGCCGACCAAGGGCAAGATGGATGGATGGCATCCTTGAAGTGACTGGACTGACCTTGAGGGAGCTGGGGGTGGTAACGGCCGACAGGGAGCTCTGGCGTGGGCTGGTCCATGAGGTCACGAAGAATCGGAGACGACTGAACGAATGAACAACAACACACATGCTCATGCCCTCTGCTTACTGTGTTTGGGGAAAACCTATGTGCTTGTGGCTTGTGAAATTTGCCACATCTTATTAAGGTTTCTGAGGAGATCGAACCAGGCAAATCAATGCAGCTACCCTGGAAATACTGGAATTTACGGGATGTGTTCAACAAGAATGAGGCCAATTATTTACCACCTCATTGATCCTATGATTGTGCCATCAAGCTAATCCCAGAAGCCCCTGTTCCCAGTGGACACATCTATCTGCTCTAGGAACTGGAGTTACAAAACCTGCAAGAGTTCTTGGAAAATAACTAATAGGAACCGATACCCATTGCCCCTGATCACAGAATTGCTGGAGAGACTTTGAGGGGCCAGGATGTTCACCAAACTGGACTTGAGAGGGGCCTATAAACATATTAGAATCAAGGCTGGGGATGACTGGAAAACAGCATTCCAGACCTGCCACGGACATTTTGGATGCAAAGTCATGTCGCTTGGTTTATGCAATGCTTTGGTGGCACTTCAACAATTCATAAATGACATTTTCAGGGACTATTTAGGGACTATTTGTTCTTATTTATTTAGATGATATTTATTTATTTATTCAAAAAACCAACAGGTGCATGACAGGCATGTTCAAGTGTTGTTGCAGAAGCTGTGTGAGCATTGCCTGTACATTAAGTTGGATAAATTTGCATTTGACTTGCAAGAAGTGGACTTTTTAGGGCATTGAGTGTCTGTCCAGGAAGTGACCATGGACTCTGGGAAAGTAAAAGCAGTGTTATCATGACAGACACCAGGATCCAAGAAAGATGTTCAGTGTTTCTTGGGGTTTGCAAATTACTATTGGCATTTTATTCCAAACTTTGCTACCGGGGAAAATCCCATCACATAATGCTTGCAAAACAGGCTCCATTCCAGTAGACAGCTCAAGCAGAGGAAGGGTTTTAATATGTTTTAATGTGCATTTTAACTCAAATTTTAAATTTTAACTTACATTTATTTAATTGTCTGTTGTTTAAAGGCATCAAATAATTTCTATATGTAAAGCTGGCTTGAGTCCCCTTTGGGGTAGAGAAAGGCGGGATATGAATAGAATAAATAAATAATAAATAAATAAGGGTTTCAGCAGCTAAAGTGCTGTTCACCACCGAGCCAGTCCTGCAGTACCCTGATCCAAGTACCCCTTTTGTTATGCAAGCAGATGCATTGGGTGTGGCCATTGCAGTGGTGCTCCTGCAACTAGATAGGGATAATTTGCATCCCTGTGCTTACTACTTTCGCCAACTGAGCAGTGCTGAGAGAAACTACACTTTCTGGGAGAAAGAGCTGCTGGTCATCAAAGCGCATTTGAGGCTCTATGACATCTGCTAGAGGACACAGCTCATCCTGTGGAGGGTCCATACTGATCATCGAGATATGGAGTATGGTAAGCAAATTCCATCAGACATATCCAGAAAAACCTTGGCCTCTGGGAGAGGGAGGAGTGATGCATGGGGGAGGGGGCAGGAAGTTCTGAGCCCCAGGAAGAGGAACAGCCTAAGACCACTAAGGAGCAGGACCTTTCAGAAATAGAAGCACGAGTTGGAGCAGGGGGAAAAGCAAAAACAGTCAGTAACTTGCCCTGCCTAGTTCCCTCTCAGGACAGATGGCATCTAGCTGTGAAGGTCAAATTGACTAGCTCAGAAGAGGATTCAGCATCTGTAAATAATTATTAGGAGCATCATAAAGGACAGTCGTTTGGAACAGCTTACTGCTTGGAGAAAACATCTGGATTTGGTTCTACAGCTGTGTATCATTGGTGACTTCATTCCTTGAACCCTGGACTATGCTTCTGGGTCTTGGTGAAATTCGGTGCATTCAGACCTCTTGGAATGCACTGTGGAATTGACTTGCTCACTCCTGTAAATTGGAAGAGTGACAGCTTAAAATCATGGACTGCCTCTGACTGCTCTTGGCAAGTAAGGCTGTGGACCAAGGCAACTAGTGAGTTTGACGCACAACATTCTTTTTGCTTAGCATCTAACAAAGTTAGACAGTGGTTGTTTTGAAGCTTTGTTGATGGTAGATTAAGGTCTGATGACTCATTTGCTTTCTCCATCTCCTGTAATCTTGGAGCACTTAATTCTTTCAATTTTGAAATGAGCACATTGTCATAGTAATTTAGTGATTCACTCTTGAAGCCACTGCAAGGAAATGGGGATGTAATTTCACATCAAACACAGCTGTCTAAATTTGTGATGATCTAAGGCACTGGCAAAGTAGAGCATTATTGTTTGGTCATGCTTGCATCTATCTCTGATTCTGAAGACTTCAGAGGTGCGTTTCTGGCCTTCCCAGATGGTTCTTTCCAGACATATATTCACCGCATCCAAGCCTACTTGACTTCATGGAGATCTTCTATCAAGACTATTCAGTAAACAAGTTGTGGAAATCATTGACATGAACTTGCAATGGAACCTTCTAATTGTGTTGTATGTCAGCTGGTAGTTTTGCAGGATCACAGAACTGAAGAACTGGAAGGGACAAAGTTGACATGATGTAATGAGTCCCCCAACTTTCATAAGGCAGTTGCAATCTCTGTCTACTTACTTCTTGCCTGCACCACACCTCTGGCAGAATTCTATCGTGCTGCTTGGCCATATCGGGTAGAATATTTTTTTTTTAAAAAGTAAAACATGGTTCTAGACAGAAAGTATTACACTTGTAGGGGAGGATACAGAGAGATAGTGCAACAGATGCATCATTATTGCTTTGTGATCCTAACTATGTTCGCTCTGTAAGATTTGTTTAATTGAACTAAGAAAAGTGGGTGCAAGATGACAGGATACTTGGTTAAACCACATTGTCATGTCCAGGGTCTAGCTGCTACAGTATAGCTCCTCCCAAACATTGGTGAAATTTTAGTGTAAACTTTGTGGGATACAGAAACAAATAGGACACACCTTTGCTCTTCGCTACAGTGCAATCAGCTACACAGTAATATACATATTCCATCCTTGTTATATAATGTAATATCCCAGTTTTAGGTAGCCCTTTTAACGAGCAGCAGTTCTTTGTTTATATATGATTTCCTTTTAGAACAACTTGCTTCATCCTGCACGTTGAAGTTTCATTACTATACCACAACTGAAAAAATTAGTTCACCTAAACCAGCTGTTGCCAACCTTTTTCGAATCACGACACCATTTTATAAAGGCAAAGTGGTGGATTACCCTGATATAGTAGCAACAAGCTTTTTAATAGGGTAAATGAAAATGCATCAAAAAAATTTCAGTATGTGAATCAAAATAAGGTTAACTGTGTATGAACCTGAACTTCACAACAAGCTAACCCAACAAACGAAAGATCTTTACATGTTTATGCAAACAAATCTCTATGCAGGATGCAATTGCATGATTTTTTTTACTTTTTAACATTTTCATAGTTCACAATTGCACAGCAACTCCACAGAAAACCCTTCACGACTTCCTTTGAGGTTGTGACCCATGAGGTTGGGAACCATTGACATAAACCTTTCCACAGATGTGCCTTCCCTCCTTATCTAAGTGGTCATCAGAAAACCTTTATTATCCAAGTTTTATATTATCCAAGACCTTTGTCAATAGTTATATTTATTTTTAAAAAGAAATTGCTATTTTTCACCAGAGAGAACACTACTTTAGGAATTTCTAGGTCTCCCAGCATGACTTTATGATCACTGGAAGCTGAACACAGAATTGTATTGGAGGACCTAGAGAATCCTATGACCTTATCATATGCCTTCACCCAAGTGCCGTTTTGCCAGAAAGTATGGCAAAAGGGGAGGCATGTGGGCGACTCTGTCACCTTGGGCACCACTCCAGTGCAACACCATTTCCCCCATCACACAAGGGAAGCATGGCCCAAGCGGGGCAGAATGGTGCTGGCTCCATTGAAGCCATCCTAGGATGCTTCCATGCTGGTTGGTGGGGCCTCCACCAGAAATTGAGGGATGTCATGTAATGGGCTGTGTGCCTATCTGTCTCTTAACTGGAGCAGAAGTGTCCTAGGATGCTAAAAATTCCTCATGTGACCAGGTCCCTAGAGAGGTTCTCTAGAAATGCTTAGCTCCTCTAGCATGAGTGGAGGAAGTTGACAATAGAGTCACAGTCAGGGGCGGCTCAACCCATTACGCAAAGTAAGCATTCGCAGTACAGTTGATTTTGCCCAGGGGCGCTCTTGAGGCGCTGTTGGGGGAAAATAGACCTTGACATATGTGAGTTGTAGTTACTGGGATGTATAGTTCACTTAAAATCAAAGAGCATTCTGAACTTCACCAATGATGGAATTGAACCAAATATGGCACACAGAACTCCCATGACGAACAGAAAATATATATCAATGATTGGTTGGGGGGGCGCCAAAATACTGTTTGCTTACCGTTGAAAATTACCTAGGGCCGCCTCTGGTCACAGTGGAGGAGCTCAAGATTCTTAGAAATCAAACCCATAAATAATCAAATCCACAAGAGTCAAAACCACAAATGTGGAAAGATTACTATGATTTATGTATGAAGATAGTCCTATTGTTGAAGATAGCTTGAATGTCTTGTTGGCCTAGCTCTGTTCTTATTATGCTACAAAATATGATTCTGTCCAATCTGGTTTAATAGGATTATATATGATTTATGTCTACGTGTATGTGTGTGCGCGTGTGTATATGCGCACCTATGACAGTACAATTTAGGGATTGCTACCATAGATGTTACTTTTATATCATGGTAACATCTGTGAGATGACCACATCACAAATAACAAAATTCCCAAGATGGCCAATGAGTCTTGGAGACAAAGGAAAATCGCTTTAAGTCTCAGCGTAACATCTATGTTGTACAGCAAGACACCTTGGAGCATTTATATTCTCTTATATGTCTATACACACAAAAGATTATACCTGTTTGCCATATGACTCTATATAACTGAGTGTAAATGTTTTTGACAGTTGCAAAGTTCTTCATAGTTATGCTTTACTCAGTGTTGCAAAGTGCGTAAATCACTCAATCTGTATCTTCTTTCTCAGAATGACTCACACTGTATTCAAAAGCTACATTCAGAAATTACTGCCTGTTTTTCAGTTAGTATTTTAATGCAACTCGGAGTGATTGAAATTTGTTTTATTTAATGTAATGCTCAACATTTGGTGCTTTAAATTCAAATATGCAAACTGGTTCCTATGAAAAGCGTACTGCTAAGAAAACTCTGAAAGGAGCCTTGATTTGTGATGACTTATTCACACATGTGTCAGGTTTAAAGAAGCATGCTATGAACTGACAAATCATGCCTGCTAGCAACCTTTTTTAAAAACTAAAACTTTTTTATTCTAGGAAACTGCAGAATGAGTTACTGGAGGTGAAACGGAAAGGCGGCCGGCATCAACGACACCAGCTTGAGAACAGCAGGGTCTGCATTCGCTGTCAGAAAAATTTGGGCTTAATCTTTGATAGAGGAGATTTCTGCCCAACATGTGGACTTAGAGTTTGTAGCAAATGCCGTGTTGAAGGGATGAATGGCAAATGGAAATGCACAGTGTGTGATAAAATTGGGTGAGTTTCTTTTAAATGGACATATTTTTGGTAATTCATTTTCTGATCTTACACTATATCATTGCTGAATGGCATGAACATGTAATTAGTGTATAGGGTTGGGATAATGAAGGCATGATTGGGTTTACATTGAAGGTGTTTGAAATCCATAAATGGGGTCCAGATATAGCTCAGTTAATAGTGTTCAGACGGAGGTTTCTTTTGCAAAATCAGCCCCAGGAAGATGCTGAAGGAGAGGATTGGAGAAGCACAGACTTCCACTATCAGGTTGTAGCATTGTGTCAGCAGTAAACAATTACCTGGTGGTTTCATTTTAATGTGTATATTGTTAGCTTTGGTTAAAAGGTTTTCTGAAACATATTAAATCACTCTTCTTTTTATAGTCTTTCTTTCCATGCTATTTCTATCTATGCTATCAAATTTTCTGTTAAAGATGTCATGCCAGAAACTTATCTACTTTCAGAAAAAGGGATATCCCTATAGTTCTATCCAAGTATTTTCTGCTCATAACTGGAGCAGGTGGATTCCTTTGCAGAAAAGTGTGTTCTGTTAAAGGCTGGATCTACACTGTCCTATATCCCAGGATCTGACCCAGCTTATGTGCTTTGAAATGAATTATATCAGTCTACACTGTCAGATAATCTGGGATAAGAAAATAATCTGGGATCAGATCCTGGGATATAGGGCAGTGTAGACCCAGCCAAAGAGGTGGTGCCTAGGAAAACTGATTTCATTAAATTGTGCATACCTGCATTAAGCATTTTCAGTAACCCTGTACTAGCATTTCTACCCTCATCAATGTTATTATTGTTTCATTAATCTATATATAAAACTTTTTAAAACTACCAGCATCACTTAGCCAGCATGGCTAAAGCATACCCAGAATTACAGGCAGTTTCCATGTTAACAGTAGGATGAACTCACCCCAGACTTTGGACCAGACTTTAATGAGCCATCCACATTGCCAACTCCAGGGTGCTTCCAGACAGCATGAAAATGCGGGTTTTAATAGAAGACAAAAAATTCTGGTACCTGACAGACCTCTCGGTCCTGGGATTCCTTCTGCCGCTGTCCTCACAGACTTTCTCTGTATCAGAACAAGATGGAGGGCGAGTGGGAGGGCCATTGGAAGGTTTTTTTAAAAGTAAAAAATCACTCAGTTATGCACTGGACAGTATATGTGCACATGTGAATATCTTAATATAAATGCAAACAGATTTGCATGTGCACATATGAGGTTCAGAACATAACTGAAGGATTTAAAAAAACTTCTGGCAAATTTCTCTTTCTTCAATTGTTTATTCAAGCTTTGTTTAATATTATATACTGTAAAATAAAGAGTTTCAGATAGTTATAATTGCTCTCTGATTGTGCTTCCTTAAACAACCTGTGCGTCCATTTCACAGCCCAATTAGCTGGTTAGCTGTTTCAGGCTTTTAAAAAGCAGACATGTGCTGAAACTGTCTCCATAGGAGGAAGGGAAGGAAATCATATGTTTTTTGTGAGTGCAGGGATATAAAGTGATGAGAATATATGCATTTTCCGGCTGGAATCACATGTTTTTTGTCCGTTGCATTGAATCAGCACAAATGTATTGTTAGCCACCCACCTTTTAACTCAGGAAATCCCATGTTTTAGGTTTTGTGTTGATGGGCCCCCAGAGGTGCATCACTTTAGATTATTTAGTTCAAAATAGACTCTTCTATTAACATGGATGGTGGCTTCTACCACTGCCAGACATCCACTCCTTGGTTGGCATTCTAAGTAATGTAGATAAAACTCCAGTAATTAAATGTGAAGATGGAGGAGAAAGCATATTAACTTGGGTGTGTGCAAACAGATGTAATGAGGCTAGCTCCTTATTTCAAGACAGATAAAATAATACACTTCATTTATATTCTGCTTTATCTTCCCGGAGGGACTCAGAGTGGATTACAGAACACATATAAGGCAATCATTCCATGCCTTTTACACAGTGAACACAATGACATACAATACACAGACAAAGATACAGGCTTCCCCCCACCTTCCCTTCCATCCTTGCAAGCAAGCAAGCAAGCAAGCATCTTGGGATTGCTAATGGTAGAATTCTTTTAAGAGTTTAGTTTGCAATATTCTTCCCTTTATAGAAACATACTGTTCTCAGCTGATGCTAGCAGAAAAAGTTGTGCTGTCTGCTTTGTTATCCATGATGGACTTTGTTGTTGGGCAAGGATGGGTTTCTTGTAGCTTAAAATTGGTTTAATGATTGGCATGTTGGCGACAAAAGGGAACTCAGTGTGCCTTTTGTTACCATGGTAGAAAATGAGTGATGGAGGGGAGGGTTGTTAATAAATACTGCTGTGTGGATTTTTTTTTTTTGCAGGCAGATCCTATAATGGGCCTCAATAGTAATGTTTACTGCATGTTGCAATCTGTAACAGTTGTCCTTGCAAGAGCAGTGTATATGTCCCCAGCACAGTAAAATGAAAGACAGCTCCTTTTGTGCAGATCTCTTGGTGTATTCCGATTTATTTGAGTTGCTTGTAAGGTAGCTGTCATAAATAAAAAGCTTCTTGGGCTTGCAGAAGTAAAATGATAATAATAAAGCACTTCATTAGGCAGTGTCTGTTAGCAATTAAATATGAAGCAAATAATTTCTAAGTACTGATTAGTAGATCATAAAGAGTAGATGAGACAAAAGAGAAAATGCTGAGTACAAGACCAGTGTGCACACTTCTTTACTCATCGTGCAGTATTTCTTTTTTATTATGTAAAAGGCAAAATGCAGGTGATTTTAAAAGATGTTTGAGATATCTGGGTGGATAATCAAATTTACTACTGCTTATGTTCATTTTGGTGCTCTTAAGGTGCGAGCACTAAACTGTAAAGACCTTCAAATGTAGTTTCTACTTTTTAAAAATATATTTCTCAGAGCTTCTGGGTAGCATGTTGCATCAGATCACAGACCATTGCCTGTGTGTTCAAATGTGTCTTCTGTATTTCTGTAGGGACTGGTTCAGACTCTGTTGCTGTTCTTGCCAAATACATTGTGTGTTCTAGAGCAGACCTTCTTAAACTGTACGCCCCAATCCCTGACGCAGTCCCCTTAGCTCAATGTTGGGAAAAGAGGAGGTAAAAGATGTTTAAATCCTGTGGCTGCTTCCTGCAGAATTCTAAGTGTTGTAGTTTAGTGATTACCTCTCTGGCAGAGTAGTTTAAATGCCTTTTCCTAAACTACAAACTACAGAATTCTGCAGGAGGCAGGCACAAGCATTTACTGGCCTTCCTTATCTCCAGCTGCACCCCTTTGCTTAATGGAAATCTGGTATTTACTATTTATTTGCTTCTTTATTTGCCCTATTTACACCCTACCTTTCTCATTCCTGAAGGGGACTCAAGGCGGCTCACATATAAGCAATTATTCAATGCCTTAGAGCAACACACAATTTCAATTAACATTAAAATTAACATTATATTAAACATTTAAAACATTACATTCAATATTAAAACCACACCATCCATAATCATAGTCCAAGGCCATTCCATAGTCATTGCACATATTTTTGTTAGTATTTGAAGAATTTCACCTTTATCTTCCTGCAGAGTTTAGCTCACAATAGGATGGACCCTCTGCATCCAGAAATTCAACCATCCACAGCTTAAATATCTGTTTCTCTATCTATCTATCTATCTATCTATCTATCTATCTATCTATCTCAAACTTTGACTTGCCTTTGTATATAAGGGACATGATTTCACCACACCCTTGTATATCATGGTATTTGAGCATCCACTGTGGGACCTGGAATCAAGACTCAGCAGATACTGAAGGTCACTGTATTTTACTTAATGGGTTTGATGTTATGTCCTTGGAAGTTAGACATGCTCTAATTGTGCTGGTACAGCTGTACCAGAAGCTCCCACTTTATTTGCCTTGTATTAAGTGTTTGCTTACAGCCCAAGGCTTGGGATTTTGCAGAAGGGTGGCTTCCTGTTAAAGTTTGCAGTTATAGGGCAGGCCACCTGTCCATCATCATTAGGTTCCTTAGTTCCGCCCCCTTTTGGGTTTTCAGAAGAGAAGGGAGCAATTTTTAGTCAGTTACACACAAGGAAGCTAGTCTATAGGACGCAGACAGCTCATCCCGTAGGAAAAGCTTCATTCCTCAGACTCATCTGGGGATCATCCGGGGATTATCCAGGGAAATAGAAACAGAAGGAAAAGATCCCAAAGGCTCTGGCTGAGAACTCACAGCCTCTCAGCCTCACAGCACCAGAGGGGGAAACAGCCCTGAAGTTCCCACAGGACAGCATTACAGAACCACCGAATTCCAGTTGAAATATCTTCAAGCCTTGGCTGGTAGGTTTACTCGATGTCCAGACGCATTTGGGATCGGTAGTGGGGCCCAGATGATAGACAGCCTGGGAGAGATTATAAAGGGTTCTTCCTCATGCTGAGATAGTACAGTTAATCCAAGTCAGTGCCAGTCTCTTAAAGACTAGAATAAGAAAGCCTTGAAGTGTTGTTTGAAGATTTGTTATTTGTTCCTTAATAAAGACTTTGTTGTATCATTAAAGAGTCCAAAGACCATCACTTCAGGAAATCCCTAAAAATCTCTCTTTGAGGCACCCCAGCTTCCCACTGAGTTAAAGTATATGTCCTATAGAATAAAGACAATTTGTTCAGACCCAGTGCGCGACAGAACACTAATTGTTATTGCTGTGATACAATTGGTCCTCCATAGTCACAGATTTAACCATCCAATGTTTTCCCAAAAAGTTTTATTTATACCTATTTTATGTCACATCAAATTTTCTTTGGCAAAAAGGGTTCTCAAGCTGAAAATGTTTCTAGAGAATGACTTTTCTTAAATAGTGAGCAGGGCTCACTATTTAGTTGTTTAGTTTTCTTATTGGGTGCGTCTGCACTATAGAATTCATGCAGTTTGACACCATTTTAACAGCTCATTGCAATGGAATCATGGCAGCTGTAGTCTGCTGAGTCACCTGTGCTCCTTTGC